TCTATATGAATTACTTGAATTACGGAATGCTAAATCAATATGCAATATTGAATATCGACTCTTAAGCTAGCTCTGAAAGACATTAAGTTGTACTAATTCTGAGTAATTTCCATTTGTAATGAGCGTTACCGTTTGAACTAAATCAATTGTACTGAAACCTTGTGCAGTTTGCAAATGTACATATTTGAAGAGAAGTATATCAACAAGAATCATTACGTTACTACTGTTATCGCAAAGGGCTTGTTTCACTTGCCTACTTTGATATGATGTGATGTTAAATCCGGTAAGAAGCAAATCATCTTGCGTGTTAAGAATATTCTGAATTAAAACTAATAATATATAACATAAACAATTTAAAATACAACACTTAATATATATATATATTATTTATATACCCGGCGCACTGGTATACTTGTGTGCCACTGGTATACTGGCACACAAGTAAGTTGAACGTACCGACTAATGAATCGATTATTGTACGGCATGTTTCTCCGCAAACTCGACAAAACTGCAATTTACTAACAGAAAAAAGCACAGACGTGAATCATTTATTCGTCTTACACTTGTTGTCGAAAACATCAAGAAGGCGGAAATAAAATTGTTAAATACAATTAACATGGATTCTTCACGACATTTCGAGAAATGTTACACAATCAAAGCTATACCACATTAGTAATATGAGCAGCATAAATAATATTTATATTTAATCGTTTAAAAACGGCGTATACAGCGAAAATGAACGCGAAACAATAACAAACGGGAAATACGAAATTAAACCATGATTTGTTCAAAGTTGATGAATAGCGGATAGGTATTTGAATTTGTTTTTCGTTCGTTTTCACATTGTCTGATTCGCCATCGACTGTGTTTAAACAAGCTCTGATTACCATGTCACGATTTCTCAATTGGACATAATTTCTCATTCGGAGAACCGTAAAGGAAGCAAAGATTAATAAGACAGTGAATGATATCGACATTCGAAGCATGAATATATTTATGTAAATGTTTTAGCGCTACATATAAGTGTGTATATTAGACTGGTACCAGGTAATTCCAGTTTTATTTTTCTGATCTAACTGAAATTCACTTTTGAGGCATCTAATTTTTTTAATATAATCCTCAATGTAAAATGGGCCCCTTGTCATGCTTTTGCTTTTCCTGCTTAATTCTCATTTTTTGAGCATGACCAAAAGGTAGGATTTGAATTGTATTTCCAAAATGGCCACATTGACGATGGAAACCTATGAATGAACCCAACAATTATTTTTGTAGCCCTATCAAAACTTGAGTTACGAGATTTTACATGACGGGGGCGTGCATGGCAGCAATCTTTGATTTACAAGACGACAACGCGTACTTACAGATTCTAAACAACTAAATCGTATTCCGCAGCTTATGAATTAACTGATTGAGCGAAAAAAGCAATTCCATCGACTATGTTTAAACAAGCTTTGATTACCATGTCACGAATTCTCAATTGAACATAACTTAAAGGAAACAAAGATTGCGATGGCAAAAAATGATATCGTCATTTGAAGGATTAATTTTAGGATACTTGATTAATACAGTTTAGTTTATGCATACATGAAGACACTACAAAATCGGGGAGTATCAAATAAATCTGAACACATTTGCTGGGCGGATGACAGTTGAACTCATAATCATGTACGCAGTGTGCAAACCATGTAGATATACTAGTTGCTTATTCTCTTTTATCTCACTGCTTTTTTTATTCATAATTTATTTGTACAGATTGTACAGATGATTTCCCTACAATTAACATGAACCTCATATGTCTCAGATATCGTAATTTTTAAATAGTATTCAAGTATTATATTGAATCCATTCGTGATGACACGTTATTTGCACGTGTACTGTACTGTTCTGATTTGAGGTTTTTACGTGGATGATATGATTCGTTCGTTCTACAATCATTTATGTATGATGGGTTAACTGTGGATTTATACCTGTAATATTTTTCGCCAAAGCCGGATGTCTGGATGATATAGACCTATCTTATGCCTACATCAACACAAATTCCCTCCCACACAACATTCATACCAGCGAGTAATTGCCACTTTTATAATTTTATAATGGAACATTAAATATTGCTAGTATAAATCTACGGAAACATTAACTGCCATGTGGATACGACTTGTCGCGCAGTGCTATTATTCATAATTAAACCGGGTGTGTTTTCAATTTCAGCGAATGATTGCTTTCCGTCGGGTGCACATATTACTCATTTGTAATTTAAATAATTTGCTCCCTAAAAAATAAATTTAACCTAATTAACAATTTCTGATAATACTGAATCTCTGTTCACACATAATGGGAAGTTAAATATTAGAAGCACATATGCTTATGAAGAGAGCAATAACATAATATCAAGGTATATGTAATGTTACTGAAAACCTTTTAAGGAAAAACGTCGAACACCATAAGCACGATATTAGGCGAATACTGCCATGCAAAAAAACTAAAACGTTTGAAAAATTAATGAATAAACAAAATACAAGCAAGCTCGAGGTAATTGGTTTCGTCCAGATATGTTACGCTTTTTTTCTCTTCTAAAACCGCCACAACTGTAGTTTATTTTCGAACGTGTGTAGACACACTAGATGTACAATATGCTAAACGTATTCTCTTCAGCTTCTATTGTACTTTGGATACATTTAACTGTCCTCACATTTTCGGTCAAAATCTATTTAGCTTTCTATAATCAAACATCACGTCTGAAACACTATACTATTTTACACGCATTCTGATAGTTTTGCTACAAACTGAACAAATCTGATTGTGAATTCATCACTTAGTCACCTATTCAATGGAGTTTTATAGTATTGGTTTAGCAGATAAGATGTGCTCATTTGAATTTAGAAACTGCTAGTAGGATACTTTCAGATAATATCATTATTAATGTCAAAGATCACGTGATGTAACCCACAATGCTTTATGAACACTTGTAATAAACATGGCGTCTTCCTATCCCGTAATTTACGTTCGAGTGTATCGTACAGCGAAGGTATTCTAGAAATCGTAAAATACAGTAAAAACAACAACTACGGCATTTATCTCGCTTATGGCACCAACCGGTAAATAAAAATGTTCCAACGTTTTGACCAAACCACCAGCCAGGAAACTATAAAATAGTTTCCAATGTTGTGACTGGGCATACGCCCCCTCCCCTCGGGTGCTACAAACACGTTTTTCATGAACGTGAATTAAACAAGTACGATTGTTTGCTTAGTAACATTATTAATTGTTTTTTTGTGTGTGTGCCAGTGTGTGTGTCACTGTTGTATCTCCTGACTTTTTTGCATATGAAAATTGCAAGTGCTAGTGCTGACATATAGTGCATTTTTGCCACAAGTCATATTGTAAGAGAAATATTTGAGTATTGGACGACCACAAGCAATCAGTGCACTCCTATACGTCAAGGGATAGCAAACGGAGATGAAATAAATGAAAACACAGACACCACTCGGAATAAAACATCAAAGAACTATTCTTTATCGTACCATTCCGAATTACAAGACACACTCACCAAAAAGTCTAAGCGAATAACAGGATGACCTCACAATTCGATTCCCATAGGCTAAGAGAAGTTATACTCATGCTATTTCCATATATGGATTGCAATGATCCCGCGAAATGTGGGTTCCCAGGGCGAGAAACGTTTCACAAATATACACGAAATTATACGAATCTTTGAGTAAAAAAAATAATTCCATGACAATATTCATGTTTGGGACTGCATGACAGGGCAGTGTGGCCATCTCTCTATCAAATGGCAATGTTAATGCGCTATCCTGGCGTCAGCCAGACTCGGTCAAACACAAGCACCTGCGGATCTTAATCAAGGTGAAGGTCGCATTCGTTAGTGAATGAAACTCTGCCAGTGGAATAGGCATTCCCATTGAGTCTGTGGCACACTGAACCAGGGTTGGGGTCAGGTGGGGTCAGCCTAAGCTCAGACTAGTAATACTAGTCTGAAGCCTGAGGTAAGATTTGAACTTGGGTCTACCGGCCATGAGTCTGATGCGCCAAACACCAGGCTGCCAGTGTGACGTATGATATAAAATAAAAACAGCGGCAATAATTAACGTTCAAATTAATTTGTTCATCTTAATTTTCTTTTTATGTGTTGTTGCGGTGTTAAATTTAGAGCACTGAACGACTACGCCGGACTTGTGCTTTCTACCTCTAACATTCAGTTTACGGTGTACACAAAACCTGGAAAACGGCGTTACGTAGTGAATACCCAGGCCATGTAAAATTGTGAACTTTAGACGCATTACCAACTTGAAGTCTATGGACAAACAAAATACTAATACTAGTGATTCATGATACCATCACGTCGTAATTATCATATTTTCGTCGATAAATTCTAAGAACGTATGACAATTACTGCAGAGATCTAGTATTAGTAATGGTAAAAGTAACTTTACTCACAGGAGAGTGAGCTATTTCCTAAGCTACAGCGTCTATGTACTGAAATAAATGCGTGTTCACAAATTACGATACTGATGTTGTAATGGTTATACGTGATAGTCGAATATCATATGAAATGTATAATTTTATCAAACATGAATTTAATACATATATCATTACAGAGTCCCTTCCGAGAATCCATTTATGCATGCACAGTGACTGCGGCACAAAATTGTGCATGGGGGTGCGAGATATGTCCAATAACCTTGCGCCGAAGACGCGACCATACTAGGAGGGTTCGATGGCATGCTCCTCTTTACAAATTTTGAAATATAGAACCTCGTAAACGTTATTTCCTGCATTTTAAGGGGAAATTTTGCTGACACAAAGGTTTCAAATGGTTCAGGGCGATCACCCCCCCTCGCCCCCCCTCCCCTCCCGTGCCGCCGCCACTGATGCATACTTTCCTTCAATTGTTTCATAATTGTAATTCCTAAAGTGAAAATAGTTCGGATGATTGCGATATTTGTCTTACTTATTCTACTTCATTTCTACATTATAACTAGTTGCTGGCGTCTGTGATGATAGCGATAACTGCCCAGAACCCTGGTTAGAACATCATAAATATTGCTACGCTAAGTTTGATATCATATTGGACCAACAAAATTCCTTGGATTACTGTGCTGTATATGGCGGTGATTTGGTTTCTTTTGGAGGTCAAGGCGAGCATAATTTTGTCAAGGCAAATTATGGGTGAGCTGAGAGGTTAATATTTACTGTCGGTGACAACCCATGATTTCGAATTCTGCTAAAACATACAACATATTTTACCCGTCCAAAAGACTTGTTTGAAAGGATATGTCATTAAATCCATCCAAAAGAACGTCTATTGTGCCTGGTGTCAGGTTGTATGGCCGCGTTTATGTTTTTTTAAATATCAGTATGTAAGCTTCAAACATCTTATATGCACCATGTTTCTATAATAGTGGGGAATATCACTATTGGATTGGCCTGAGACGAGTAGAAGACAATTTTGTATGGAGTGATGAAACGCTACTTGGCTACACCAACTGGAGTGATATTTGGAATGAAAGTAACGCGAACTGTGTTGCATTAACTCCTTCATTTGATTGGCGTACACAAGAATGTAGCACTCCTCATCGGTTCATTTGCGAGGTGCCAGAGAAAGGTATCGTATCATCTAAATGTTATGATATCAATGTTTAATTGTATATTAAATATAAACTATATAGCGTTGAAGTTGTGAATACTGTTATTGTTGTTACGTACACCATGGTTTTTATATTCACAAACTGGGAAATTCAGTGAAATGCGTTAAATTAACAAACTTTTTTTTCACCATGTACAATGGAATATTTTTTGATATAAGTAAATATAAAAACAAATTTCAGGGAATGATATTTTTGAGAAATGTCAAATGTCAAAATAACAAACAAGAATTATTTCGTAAGTCAGAAGTTGATAATTGCAATTTGTTAACTAATGGTTAATTACAACTGTCCTAAACTTCTATCTTCTTCTAGTTTAGACTAATTGAATACACATACATATTAGAATATACAAGAACATTTGTTGCTAAAACTACACAGCAATGTTGTGCATCAAGCGCATATTTTCCATGTTGCATTGTATTATGTTCGATATGTATTACAATGGGCTATTATTTATTGTTGTTTACGTTTAAGATATCATTGTACCACTGATTGAAGGCGAAGCGACCGTGAAACCCCGGGATGGTGAGTTGAAGTGTATCCCAATAACATTTCTCTAACAAACTAAACTTAACCCTTTTACTTGCTATACATCAATTTGGTATGAATGTGATGCGCTCTATCTTGTGATAATAGTGAAATTGGGTGTAATTAAAAAAAATACTGTATTTGTTCGAAAACAAGGGGTGTTTGGCATTTTTTTACCGACAAAAATATTAAATAATGAGCAATTCAATAGTGTTACTGTCATTGTGGCATTTATGCCCCCCCCCCCCAAAAAAAAAACTCCAAACACAATTATCGAAATTATCATGACAGGCGCAGGCGAGATAGTATGAATACAAGCTGCAGTGTAATGTTTGCATTGTGTCTTCGTTTCTCGCTTTACTGCATGACTTCGCATATGTTTGCTTTACTTATTTAGTCATATTAGAAATATCAATCATTGTCTGTTTTTGTTACAATTTGATACTTATGCTTCATTTATGTATTATTTATTACGTAACGAAACAAGAGAATTTTTTTTTGTGTGTCAAAATTACAATAATCATTAATCTTTAACGATTTATTCCTTTTCCAGAACTTTGTACTAACACGCTTCGATTCGACAAAGACTGTGTTTCGATGGAAATGATGAAAATATATAACCACGTAAGCGTTCCTTTTGATTCAAATTATATCTTTAGTTGGACATTGCTGGATTTGTTTACTATTCCTTCAGTGTAATACACATGGCTTGGTGAATCGACGTTATAGTATGTTTGTGTATTCAACAGTTTCATGACCACTCTTCACATTCTATATCGGATGTATTGCTCTACTTCAATGACCTACAAGTGGTGGCAGCAAATAATATCACATTGTCCGATCTTGTAACTGCCACCGATATAGTACTTGCAATATTGGAAATTGACCTTGACAGTCTGAGCCCTTTGACCATGGAAGAGTTTAACTCAGTGGCTGAGGTAAATAATTTAGCTTTTATATAAGAATAACTACACACTTTGATGTATATAATGGGGCAGTTGTTTACATACTATGAATACATTACAACTATTATACATATCTATAGTGCATATATTGCACAGTAATATTTTCAGGTCAATCGCAATAATGTATACAATTGTTCTTTAGGCGTGTTTACAGACCGTCAGTCAGCTATTGAGTGACACCAGTTCAGCGCAGTGGGCCTTGGTGCAAGAAGAAAATCAGGTAACTGATTTAAGAACATCAACTGTACAGCATAACGCCACTGGTAAACTAATATCAGGAGATGATTCAATCGTGTGGAAGAATGTAATTAGTTTCTAGGTAGTGACCGGACTGGCTGGTGTGTCAAACAAATTTGCATATGCAACAATGTAAATAACGATTTGTTTATCACCAAGTAAAAATTTCATCAAATCGAACGAGAATGGACAAGTAAACTGCTTGGGGATATATCATCAGGAT